CAATATGTAATGTGTACTAGAATTAAAGCCTATGAAACTAAGTAGTAGTGGCAGATGCAATTATCAAACTTTCCATCTGAACACATTCACCTTCAAATTTAACTTCTTATTTCACCCCATTTAACAGCATTACTTTCTTTGAAAATTACCCAGTTAAGCAGTTAATAGTTTTCCATAAGATGGTACAGGCCACTAGCATTAACCAAGCAGTTGCCAAGATGTCAAGATGCCTGCAATCTAATGAGATGGAGAAATCTACAGATGCCCACAGCAAACCCTGCAAAATTCCAGGTTTGCTCATGTTTCAGTGGAAAGCTTTACAACAGTTCCTCTTATCTCACTGTTTGCTTTCTGTATAGGGTGGGGCTTTCTTTAGCGATGCACACAACTTTGCAGTATTGTAAGAGTATCAGGAAAATGTCCTAATCTGGCTTGTCCGACCTCTCACCTCTGGTGCTCTGTATCATGGTGCTTTTTTGTCACCTTGTATTGCCAAGTGAGACTGCCCACTCAGAGCACTAGGCAGCGCAAGAAGGCCAACACTGACTCCCAGGAGGCTGAAATCTCGAAGGGTGAGGCGTAAGGGGAACTGGGGGTCCGTGGCCATGAAATATGATGAGGTTGCAGCTGCTGCTGCCCGATGATGGCATTCAAACAGGTGCCATGGTAACCTGTGTGGCACGTTCGACAGCCTGGGCCATCTGTCGTTGATGTTGCCATCCCAGAAATGGGATGACTTGTGCACAAATTGTATTCAATCTCTTGGCGATTAGAGTCCGTTTATGCATTTCAATGTTTAATCCATGTGACATTTTATAATAGCGCGTCTGCATTTGACTTTTCACTTGCCAGTTTCTCACATTTTACTTTAAGACTGTGGTACTGTGCTTACAGGAACTGGAATTCCTCTTTAATCCTGTCCAGGGACCCAGGGACAGTGAACTTAAGGGCTGGCCTGCAGCCTGGTGCCGCGTCGGGTGCCTGATCTGCGGAAACATCACTCTGGCGGCTGCCGGGGTTCTGTCCCCGGGCAGCTCAATTCTCCGGTCAATTTCCAACTTTAGTCCCGCAGGGAAGCCGGGCAGAAGCGGGTAGCGCGGGCGGTGCGCTTGGCTCGGCGCACCTGCCACTCTGCCCCGCGGCTGCTCCTGCTCCGGTAGGTACGGGCTCCCTTCCTCAGGGCCACATCGCTGGGCGCCCTAGGCCCATCTGCTCCAAGAACGTGCGCGGCGATGCCGAGCCCATCTGCTCCAAGAACGTGCGCGGCGATGCCGAGCCCCGGGCCACTGTGCCCTGGGTCTGCGCTCCAACCCCCGGAGCTCAGCCGCCGGGAAGGGAAGATAGCGACGCGGTGACTCCAACCGCACACCCCTCGGCGATCCGCGTGTGTGTCGCCAGTCCTGGGCAAACCCCGGCGGGCTGCTTTTCTTCGCTCTTCTGGTCCACCTCCTCTCCGGGTTTTCCTGGCGGCGGCGGCGGCGGGGGACGAAGTGCTTTCGGGTGGCGCCGCGGCCCCGGCTAACCTTACACAAGCAAACCTAAAGTTTTAGGGGCGACTCCCCCAAGGCCCGGTTGCGCCTTCGGCCTGGTGCTCGCGGGCTCCCGGGACATGGCAGGGTGCGAGGTTGAGGCCGCGGCGGAGGCTCCCCGTCGGTTAGGGAGGGATGACAAGGCGGGGAACGCGTAGAGGGCGCACGGGGAGGCGACTCCTCACGCCCCGTGCGACCAGCACTCGGCATTCTCTGCGATTGTACAAGCCCTCCTGGCGCGACAGGGCTACTCCGCGGAGGGCGGTCCCGCAGCTGCCCACTGCTCCTCCAGCCCGGGATGCATCAGGGCCCTGGAGAGGCTTGAAGGAGAGGCTTTTATAAGGTTCATGATAAAGCAAACCACATTCAGTAATTCATTGGGTGCAGTTATGTATTCACCTTATTTGGACTATCCAGGTGGAAATTTCCTGGTTGTGTAATCAGAGGTTAATTGATAGTTTGTGGGTGGTTGAAGCTGAATTTTCTTTTAAGTTAGTAATTTACAAGAAAATGCGTTAGCGTTAAGTTTTGGTTTTCTTAGGTAGAAACCCAGGGCACTACAGCCACTTCAGTCTAACTCACTCCTATTTAATTATTGTAATACTCCACAGTGGGGAAATGTTTTCCTTGGCATTTTCCATATGTTTGGCAAACAGGATCTCCAATCCACCACCCTGTTTGCTCAGTCTAACTCTTCTAGGGCTGGCAGTAAAATCCTAAATTTCCAATTTCCTCCCCATACTCCTGAATGCCAACTTGAAAGATAACATAAAATAGTTTCACAGAAGCAAGAAGGAAGCAGAATTGAAAATAATTAAATGTTTGGTTTCATATTCCATTTGTTAAAAATTATTTACTTTTTTCTTTCTCTGTGTATGTGTACTAAGTTTCCGAGGTCTGTTTATTTCTTTTGGGTGATTTCAAATGAAGTTTTAGCGGTTTTACTTAAGAATGCTACCACAAAGAAATAAAATATTTTCTATTATGGCTGTAGAAAATGGATACATTTCCAGAAAAAAAGTCTAGTAGATAAATTGATAAAGCACAAAGATTCTCTAAAACATCAATTCATCTTTCTTTTCAAGGTAAGGAATTTGTTTCTACTGACGGTAGTAGTTTTTTAGTTTGTTTTCTTTGTTTTTGTTTTCTGTACTTTGAAGATTAATGCTAAATTCTATAGGACAACCTTGACAACACCTAGAAATACTCAAATATGACTATCTGCTTACTGAATAATGTATTATAAAAATAATAATTAAATGGAATTTCTTTTGCCTGAAAGAAATAGACATGTGCCTCTTTGCATAAAGGTACTAATCTCATTGATAGGGCTTCCTCATGAGCTCATCAATTCTAGTTACCTCCTAGAAGTGCCCTGTCTTTTTTTTTTTTTTTTTTTTGAGATGGAGTCTCACTCTGTTGCCTAGGCTGGAGTGCAGTGGAGCGATTTCGGCTCACTGCAACCTCTGCCTCCCGTGTTCAAGCGATTCTACTGCCTCAGCCTCTTGAGTAGCTGGGATTACAGGCGCCCACCACCACGCCCAACTAATTTTTGTAATTTTGGTAGAGATGAGGTTTCACTATGTTGGCCAGGCCGGTCTCGAACCTCAGGTGATCCACCCACCTCAGCCTCCCAAAGTGCTGGCATTACAGGCATGAGCCACCGCATTCAGCCAAAGTGCCTCCTCTTAATATCATCGCATTGGGGTTAGGATTTGATCATATGAATTTTGGGAGATATATAAACATTCACTCTATAACACTGTCTAACAGTTCTCTATGATATCTTGACTAAAGACATCTGTCTTCTCTTTGAGTTTTTAGAAGTAGTTTTTCTAAAACTCATCAGTAAAAACAAACAGTTGTGAATTTCATGGAACTAAAGACGCTAGATCTGTTTAGGAAAACTTGCATCATGGTGATGTTCAGTTCTCTTTCTAAGAACATATACCATCTTTCCATTTATTTCATTATACTTTGATGTCTTTCAATGTATCCTTTTTATTGTATAATTATTTTATAAATCATTAGAGATATTTTAGGACTTCAAAAAATTGGTTTTAATGGGTAATGTTATCTTTAAAATTTTACCTCAAAGTCTTGGTAGCAATTGAAAATGCACTGAGCTTTGTATATTGAGTTGGCATCATAAAATCTTATTACAAATATCACATATAAGGAAAATACAGATATTTGCACAGTCAACTGTGCACTGTAAATGGTACATCCACATGAAGAAAACCAGGCAAAGACTTGGAAAACGTCTACACACGCTCTGCTTGAAATAATTTTGTTGTTGTTGTTGAGATGGAGTCTTGCTCTTGTTGTCCAGGCCAGAGTGCAATGGCATGATCTTGGCTCACTGTAACCTCTAGCTCCTTGGGTTCAAGTGATTCTCTTGCCTCAGCCTCCTGAGTAGCTGGGATTACAGGTGTGTGCCACCATGCCCCACTAATTTTTGTGTTTTTAGTAGAGACAGCGTTTCCCCATGTTGGCCAGGTTGGTCTTGAACTCTTGACCTCAGGTGATCCACCTGCCTTGCCCTTCCAAAGTGCTGGGATTACAGGTGTGAGCCACCTTGCCTGGCCTTGAAATCACTTTTCAAGGTTGAGTTGTCCAATTTCTCTGCAGATAGAGTCAGCATTGTTAATTGTAAAATGCTTTGCTTGCTTTTCTTCATACATTTATAACCTGTGTATGCATCTCTGTGTTAATATGCTTTATTTTTACATGTGTTTATGAAAATGTTATTCTGTATGTGATATTCCTTTTTGCACAGTTATTAATCTTTCATGGAATGGTCATTTATTTGGTTTCTAATTTAATATATTTTATTTTTTAGGGTGATTTTAGGTTTACAAAAAGTTTGATCAGATAAATTAGTACCCATATACTCCTCTTTAACTCATAGTTTCCTCTATTTTTAATGTCTTACATTTGTACAGTGCATTTACTACAATTGATGAACCAATATATTATATTTGATGGGGTTGAGAATTGATGAAGCAATAGATTGTTAAATAAAGTTCATACTTCACATTAGGGTTCACTCTTTGTGAACAATTTCATCACAGTTATATGGGTTTTGAAAAATTCATGTGTCATATATCCATCATAGTGTCATACAGATGAGGTCTACTACCCTGAAAATCCCATGTTCTACCCACTCATCACTCTTTTCCCTTTCCTTTTGCCCTCTTTTTCTCTGAAATGTCTGGCAACCATGGATCTGTTTACTGTCTCCATAGTTTTACCTTTTTCAGAATGTTATTTTTTAGCTTTCCCAGAAAATCGTTTTGTATGTAGCCTATTAGACTGGGTTTTTAAAAAATATATACTTAACAATATGCATTTAAGGTCTCTTCATGTCTTTTTGTGGCTTGATAGTGCAGTTTCTGGATAATATTTTATTTTATGGGTATTCAACAGTTCACTCATTCACCTATTAAAAGGTATATCTTGATTGCTTACAGTTTTTGGCACTTATTAACAAGATTACTATCAATATCCCTGTGAAGACTTGTGTGGACATCAGTTTTTAACTCATTTATGTAAGTACCCAGACATGCAGTTGCTAAATTGAATGTTTATCTTTGTAAGAGCACACCAGACTGTCTTCCAAAGTGGCTTTTTATCTTTCTTTCATAGGAAAAATAAATGAGATTACCTGTTGCTTTGCATTTTCTCCAGCATTTTTGTGTTAGTGTTTTCGGTTTTAGCCACCCTGCTAGGTATATGGTGGTACCTCATTGTTTTAATTTGCAACTCCCTAATGACATGATGTTGAGCTTATCATATGCTTATTGCTTTCTATCTTGGGTGAGGTGCCTTTCCAGATATTTTGACCATATTGTAATTTGTTGATTGTTTTCTTTCTGAGTTTTAATAGTTCTTTGTATATTTTGACTACCAATTATTTATCAAGTGTGTTTTTTGAAAAGTATCTTGTTCCAATCTGCGGTTGTCTTTTCATTCTCTTAATGGTATCTTTTGCAAAACAAAATTAATTCCAATAAAGCCCAATTTATTAGTTTTCTTTTTCACAAATCATGCATTTGGCATTGCATTTAAAACCTTATTGCCGCACCCTAGGTGGTTTGTGTTGTCTTCTAGAAGTTTCAAATTGTGGATTTTATGTTTAGATTTATGATCATTTTGAGCTAATTTTGTGAAAGTTGCAAAGTCTATGTCTCCTTTATTTTTTGTTGTATGGGTGTTCAGATGTCAAGCAATAATTGTTGAAAGAATTATATTTTTTCCATTGAATTTCCTTTGCTCCTTTTTCGAAGATCAGTTAACTGTATTTATGTGCATTTATTTCTGGGTTTTCTGTTCTATGGTGTATTTGTGTATTCTTTTTCAAATAAAACACTGTCTTGATTACTCTAGCTGTATTAAGTCCTGAAGTGAGATAATGTGAATACTGTCAATTTGTTCTTCACTATTCATTGATAGTTCTGGAGCTTTTGCATTTCTGTTACCAGTTGAGGGTAGTTGTCCAGCTTCTTGGCATTTTGAACAAAGAATTGGACAAAAGGCACATATAAAGCAAGGCAGCAAAAGCAGAGATTTATTATAAACGAAAGTACACACCAGAGGGTGGGTGTGGTCTGGAAAAAACGGTTCAAGAGTGTCAGTTACAGAATTTTCTGGGGTTTAAATACCCTCTAGAGGTGTCCCATTGGTTCACTCTATGCAAATGAAGTAGTGGCCCATGACCAGTCTGATTGGTTGTGGGAGGGGAACAATAGGCCTGTGACCAGTCTGATTGGTTATGGGAAGGAACCAAATGGGGGTACTTTCATTTTTCAACTGCCATGTAGAAGAAGGAGGGTTTGAAAAGGGAGTGGTCTCTCCTATCCAAATTAGCATGAATCAACCTTAGGTTCCCTGTCTCCAGACACTATTCTCCTGCCTCATTTCTATATAACCTTTAGAATCAGTTTTTTACATAAGTTGTTGGAATTTTTGTTGGGATTGTGTTGAATCTATAATTCAAATCCAGGAGACCTAACCTTAAAACAATATTGAGCCCTCCTATCCATGACATAAAATATATTTCCATTTATTTAGACCTTCTTTGATTCTTTTTATTAGAAATGTATAATTTTTGTCAAAAGGTCTTTGTTATATTCCTACATAGGAGCTTGTTTCTCTCTATTTTTCTGAGTGTCATAGTAGTGTTGTGTTTTTAATTTCATATCTACTTGTTCTTTTCTGATATATAGGAAAATGTTTGACTTTTCTATGTCAACCACATATTCTACAACCTGATTACTGTTATCTCTTAGTAGTTCCAGGAGTTCTTTGTTTGGTCATTTGGGTTTTTTTTTAATATAGACAATTATGTCATATGCAAACTAAAACAGTTTTATTTCTTCTTTCACAGTATCAATGTCTTTTTCTTGCCTTATGTTTTTTTCTGCAACTATTAATATAGTTAAATTAAAACATAAATTAAATGATTTATGTTGTTTAGTTTTTTGTTGTAATGGATTATATTAACTGACTTTTGAATTTTTAATTAGCCTTTCTTACCTGTAATAATTTTCGCTTGATTGTAATGTGTAATTTTTTTTTTTTTTTTTAGATAGGGTCTTGCTCTGTGACCAGGGTTGGAGTGCAGTGGTGTCACCTATTATAGTTCTTTTTATACATTTTTAGATTAAATTCAGTTTGCTACCATGTAGGATATGATAAGCTTTCTCTTCAAATAGCCTGATCAGTCCTTTATTCTTTAATTCACAATACTATCCCCTTCTCTTTTCTTTCGTTTCTGCTTTTGCTACATGCCCAGGTGTGTCACAGTACCAGGTGTTATCAATCCAGCTTACATTCCTTTCCTTATTTGGGAAGAAGACTAGCTCTCTAGCTCATCACAGACAATGCTTTCCTCTCTCCTTTCTCTCCCCTCTCTCCCTTATGTGCCCACCTTATCTAAAGAAAGTTCAGGCTGGGCGCGGTGGCTCACGCCTGTAATTCCAGCACTTTGGGAGGCCGAGGCAGGTGGATCACGAGGTCAGGAGATCGAGACCATCCTGGCTAACACAGTGAAACCCCATCTCTACTAAAAAAAAAATACAAAAAAATTAGTGGCGTGGTGGCGGGCTCCTGTAGTCCCAGCTAATCAGGAGGCTGAGGCGGGAGAATGGCATGAACCTGGGAGTCGGAGCTTGCAGTGAGCCGAGATTGCGCCACTGCACTCCAGCCTGGGCGACAGAGCGAGACTCCGTCTCAAAAAAAAAAAAAAAAAAAAGTTCAAATGTTTAGTCAACCAGGTCTAGTTTAGATTGTGTGGCCTGACTCTAGCCAATGGGGGAAAGGGCACAGGGGCAGATCTGTGTCAGGGATAAAAACTTTCATCCTCCTTTGTTCTAGTGTGCTCTCAGGGCGACTGGCCAAGGAGAAGCGCCCCTCTGTACAGAAGTAAATTTGCTTTGCTGAGAAATCCTTCAGTTGAGTGCTCATTTTCCTTAAGACTCCAAGCTTTAGTTGCAACAATTCTTGATGCCTAATGAAGGGTGAGCATTATCCTTTGGGAGGGGGTCTTCGGTCACCCCACCCACGGGGAGACACATCCCACTGTCTAGTCATGGTGGCCTCAGGGGTGGGGGATCAGGACCCACACATTGTGACAAATAAATCCAGGTTCTCAGCAACATGGGGAGAAGAGGCTTGCAAGACTGAGGCGATCAGAGGACCAGGTAACTCTTGTGCACAGACCAAGGTAGGAAACCTCGCAAGAGTGACAAAGTATTTCCTTGGTCAGGACATTTTGGAGGTTGAGAGTGCGTGTGAATGGTGCTAAGCATTATTGTTGTGTGTAATGAGTGAGTCTTCTCTGTGGTCTCATGCTGCCACATATTGGCTTGGGGCAGGAATAGTCAGAGTGGACAGAGTGAAAGAAGGGTTCAAGGAACCTCCAGTAGGTAGAGCTACAGGATAGGCAAGAGACCCCTCTGGGAGGGACTGAGCCTTCACACAACCACCGAAAAAGGGAGAGAGACACCTCTAATAGGAGAGGTTGGAACCCCCTCTTAAAGCCTCAGTGAGCCTCTGGGACGAGGAGGAAAGTGGAGGAAAAGACACTTCTAGTAGGAGAGGTTGGAACCCCCATAACCTCTGAGACAGGAAACATTTCAAGTAAGACAGGAAAGATAAAGGGTCAAGAGAGTGATGAAATTCCTTCTGATGGTCTCTTGGGGCTTATGTTAAAATATTGGAAAGATAATGAAAGAACTAAACATAAACAGAAGCAGCAGATGATAAAATATTGTTGTTTTATTTGGGTTTGAGAACCCATCCTTAAGCCTTCACTTTTCTGGCCAAAATGTGGGTCTAATGAGGAGTGGATTCAGCTTTTAATCAAACATGTTAATGATAAGAGCCCTGTCTCCCAGGAGAAGATAGATTATGCTCTTGGAGGCAAGGACCTGTCCTCCTTTGCCCTCTAAAATTTGGAGGGAGCAAGCCAGAAACCAACCCCTCTGATTCAGGAAGGGTCCCCATTCCTAGAAAACCCACACCCATCAACACATGCAGCCCTCTAGATTATCTTCCTCTATTTAGTGCCCCCGAACCCATTGCTCCAGCTGCTGCTCCAGATCCTCCGGCTGCCACTCCTCTGGCTGCCATTTCAGGCCCTTCCTCCACCTGTGCCATTCCCTTGGCTGTCCATCCTCCAGCTGCCATTGCAGGTCCCTCCCTGCCTGTGCCATTCCTCTGGCTGTTGCTTCTCCAGCTGCAGCTGCCATGTCAGGCCCCTCCCTCACCTGTGTCCCTTGCTCGTGTTCCATTTCAGCAGCTGCTGCTGCAGATCTCTCATCCGCTTCTGGTGTCCCTCTGACTACTGCCCCGCATCCTTCCCTTGCTCATTATGGTCCTCCTCCCTCCAATCCTGACTTTATGGAATTACTATATCCTGAGCCTGTCCCTCCACAACCTATTAAGTAACCCTCCTTAAAGGGGCCTCAAGGTGAGATAGAGGAATGTCAAAAGGATATTCAGAACTTCCCATTTCCCTCCATGTCTAAAGAGCCAGATCCAACTTTTTTTCTTCTAAGAGAAGTACCAGAAGGAGGGGGAGCCATTGGTTTTGTAAATGTTCCCTTGATTGGTTCAGAAGTCAAAGTAGCTTAAGGCATTACTAGATAACCCTTATGGAGTAGCAGATCAAATTGATCAATTTCTAGGACCTCAGTTATATACTTGGGTGGAGCTGAGGTCCATCTGGATATCCTCTTTTCAGGGGAAGAACAAAATACGATTCGTAGGGCTGCTATGGCAGTTTGGGAACATGAGCACCCTCCTGGTCAAAACGTTCCTCCTGCAGACCATAAATTTCCTGCCTGAGACCTCCAGTGGGATAATAACAATGCAAATCACCGAGAAAACATGCAGGACCTAAGGGAGATGATGATAAAAGGAATTTGAGAATCAGTACCTTGAACTCAAAATCTTTCTAAAGCATTTGACATACAACAGGAAAAAGATGAAGGGCCCAATAGATTCTCATACAGAATGAGGGAGCAAATGAGACAGTATGCAGGCCTCAATTTGGAAGATCCCCTTGGACAAGGAATGTTAAAACTCCACTTTGTTACTAAAAGTTGGTCAGACATTTCCAAAAAACTACCAAAGATAGAAAATTGGGAGGACCATCCCCTGAGTGAACCTCTCATGGAGGCTCAGAAAGTATATGTGAGGAGAGATGACGATGAACAAAAACAAAAGACAAAACTTATGTTATCCGCCTTCTAGCAGATGGCTCCAAACTCACATATTTCTAAGCAGAGCTTTCAGGGAGCCAGAAATTATAAGGGGCCTAAACCCTCCTTTAGAGGACCAAAGCCTCCATCCAGAGGGCTGAGGCCCTCATTTAACAAGCCCTCTAAGGGGTATAGGGGAGCAAGGTCAGAGAATACTAAGACTGAAGAGGAAGAAGGACAAGATAGATGCTACAAATGTGGAAGAATGGGCCACTTCAAGGATGTTCTGAACTAAAGAAGGAGAGAGAAACCTTCACACTCATGACTTTTGAGGAATAATAGGGGAGTCAGGGGCTCTGCCTCTTTTATTTTGAGTGCCACCAGGAACCCTTGATAACTTTGGAGGTAGGACCTAAATGTGAATTTATCACCTTTTTAGTCGATTCAGGGGCTTCACGCTGCCCTATTTGTTTCCCTCCACCTGGTCTTACTTGCTCTTCGGAAAAACTTTTAGTCTCTAGGGTAAAAGGGGAAAGATTTAGGCAAAAATTTTAGAAAGCATGCAAGTCAGATATCTAGATCAATTTACTCATATTCAATTTTTATTGATCCCTGAAGCGGGAACTAATCTATTAGGAAGAGATTTAATGCTGAAGTTAGGCATAGGCCTTCAAGTAGGCCCCCAGGGATTCCTCACTTCATTAAACTTACTGCTGTGGAAGAAAAATACATTCATCCTAATGTCTGGTCAAGGGAAGGAAATAGAGGGAGATTCCAAGTCCCTCCGATATATATCAAACTAAAAACTCCTGGGGAAATGGGAGAAAGCAATATCCCATTCCTTTAGAAGGCAGGGTAGGGCTAAAGCCTGTAACTGAAGGTCTCATTAAAGATGGGTTTCTTGAACCCTGTCTGTCTCCTTACAATACCCCAATCCTGCCTGTCAAGAAACCAGATTGGTTGTATCAATTAGTGCAAGACCTCAGAGCTATTAATCAAATAGCCCAGACTACTCACCCCGTTGTTCCCAACACCTTACACCATTCTTAGAAAAATTCCTTATGATCATCAGTAGTTCACAGTAATATATTTAAAGGATGCCTTCTGGGAATGCCCCTTGGCTGAGGATAGCTGAGATATATTTGCTTTCGAGTGGGAAGATCCCCATTTGGGGTGGAAACAATATTGATGGACAGTCCTGCCCCAAGGGTTCACAGATTCCCCCAACCTCTTTGGTCAGATTCTGGAACAAGTACTAGAGAAAGTCATAGGCTCTAAGCAAATATATCTGCTTCAGTACATGGATGATATCCTCATACCTGGTAAAGATACAAAGGAAGTGGGTGACTTCTCTACACGTATTCTCAACCACTTACAATGTGAGGGGTTATGGGTCTCAAAAGAGAAACTTCAATATGTAGAACCCGAAGTTAAAATTTAGGTCACCTAATCAGTGCAGGTAAATCAAGAATAGGACCTGACAGAGTGGAGGGAATTGTTTCCTTACCCCTGCTTCAAACTAAACAAGAACTCAGGAAGTTTTGGGGACTAATTGAATACTGTTATTTGTGGATTGACTCATATGCATTAAAAAGTAAACTTTTATATGAAAAACTTACCCAGTGGAAGCCTGACTCTCTTGTAGACTTCTGAGGAAATCCATCAGGTTGGAGAATGAAAAGAGATGCTCATATTCGCCCCTGTTCTAGCTCTACACTCCCTGAAAAAGCCACTTCACCTCTTTGTTAATGTGAATAAGGGGGTAGCTCTAGGAGTGCTTACCCAACAGCATGGAGGCCAGTGACAGCCTGTGGCCTTCCTGTCAAAGGTCTTAGAGCCAGTCGCTCGTGGGTGGCCTCAATGTATCCAATCCATCATGGCTACAGCTGTATTAGTTGAAGAAAATAAAAGTTAACCTTTGGAGGAAAATTAACAGTAAGCATGTCCCACCAAGTTAGAACTATCTCAAATCAGAAAGCAGGAAGGTGGATCACTGACTCAATGATTTTAAAGTATGAGGCCATCCTGATGGAAAAAGATGATTTAATATTAACTACTGATAATTCACTTAATCCAGCAGGCTTTCTAACAGGGGATCCAGACTTAAAAAGAGAGCATGCATGTTTAGATTTGATTGATTACCATACAAAGGTTCGACCAGACTTGGGAGAAACCCCCTTCAAGACAGGGCAACACTTATTCATAGATGGGTCTTCCCAGGTAATTGAAGGGAAAAGGTGTAATGGGAATGCCATAATTGATGAAACTCTTGAAGAAGTAGAGCTAGGAGGTCTGCCCAGACTCATGAACTGTTCGCAGTCAGCCGAGCTTTAGAGCATTTACAGAACCAAGAAGGAACTATCTATACTGACTCTATATATGCCTTTGGGGTAGCACACATATTTGGAAAAATTTGGACTTAGAGAGGCTTTATCAATAGCAGAGGCCAAGATTTAGTTCACAGGGAACTAATTGCTTGTATCCTCAACAATCTCCAGTTGCCAGAAGAGACAGTTATTGTACATGTCCCAGGGCATCAAAATGAGTTTTCTTTCATAAGTCGGGGAAATAGCCTCACAGATCAGATAACAAAACAAGTTGCTATTTCTTGTGAAACACCTGTCTTTTACTTAACTCCATGCCTTCCTTCTCCTACTGCAGTCCCCATTTTCTCTTCCACTGAAAAGGAGAAGTTAGTAAGAATAGGAGCTAAAGAGAACACAGAAGGGAAATGGATATTACCAGATCAAAGGGAGATGTTGTCCAAACCTTTCATGAGGGAGGTCTTGTCTCAATTACATCAGGGGACCCACTGGGGACCCCAAGCTATGTGTGATGCGATTCTCAGAATATATGGGTGTACTAGAATTTATACCCTAGCCAAGTAGGTCGCAGACAGCTGCCTAATATGCAAGAAAACTAATAAGCCCTAAGAAAATTACCTTTAGGAGGAAGGGATGCAGGGCTAAGACCATTCCGGAGTGTTCATATTGATTACACTGAAATTCCTCCAATTGGTTGCTTAAAGTATGTGTTAGTAATAGTAGATCATTTTACTCACTGGGTAAAGGCTATCCCCTTCTCTAGTGCAACCGCTAGCAATGTAGTTAAGGCATTAGTTGAAAACATCACAGCCAGGTTTGTAGTAGAACACATTGATTCAGACAACGGGACCCATTTTACAGCAAATGTTGTTTGAGGATTGGCCCAGGCACTAGACACAAAATTGGAATATCATATCCTTTGGCATCCATCCTCTTCAGGAACGGTAAAAAGAATGAGTCAAACTCTAAAGAGTCACCTAACCAAACTGGTCCTAGAAACCTGGTTCCCCTGGACCAAATGCCTCCCCATTGCTTTGTTAAGAATCAGGACTGGACCAGGCACTGTGGCTCACGCCTGTAATCCCAGCACTTTGGGAGGCCGAGGCAGGTGGATCATGAGGTCAGGAGATCGAGACCATCCTGGCTAACACTGTGAAACCCCGTCTCTACTAAAAATATAAAAAATTAGCCGGGTGTGGTGGCGGGTGCCTGTGGTCCCAGCTACTCAGGAGACTGAGGCAGGAGAATGGTGTGAACCTGGCAGGTGGAGCTTGCAGTGAGACGAGATTGCACCACTGCACTCCAGCCTGGGTGACAGAGCAAGACTCTGTCTCAAAAAAAATAAATAAATAAATAAAATAAAATAAAAGAATCAGAATTGCCCCTTCAAAGGATGTTGGTTTATCTCCTTATGAGATGTTATGTGGGTTGCCTTATTTACATTCTACCATTGATGTCCCTACCTTTGAAACCACAGATCAATTCCTCAAAAATTATATACTTAGTCTGTCTTCTACTTTTTCTTTTCTTAAAACCAAAGGTCTCCTAGCACAGACACCAACACTGGAGTTCCTTTCATCAGCATCAACCTGGAGATCACGTCGTCATCAAAGGGTGGAAAGAAGAAAAACTTGAGCCAGCTTAGGAAGGACCTTATCTAGTGTTCCTGACTACTGAAACTGCAATCTGAACAGTGGAAAGAAGGTAAACTCACCACACTCGAGTCAAAGAGGCACTACCGCCACCTTCGGAATCATAGGCCATTGTTTCAGGGTCAAACCCTACCAAATTAAAACTAAGAAAGACTTCACTCTCCTTTACGTATTATACTGTCTTTCCCTCTTCCCTTATTCCAATGCTAGCCATTTCGTTATTAATATAACTAGGTCTGACTCACCCCAAACCATTGTTTTTGATGCTTGTCTTGTGGGGATTTAAAGAACATTGTGGGGATTTAAAGAACCAAAGGCAACTAGCTTCCTCAGACAAATATCTCTGCTCTGGCCCCCTAGCTTCCTCTGTTGCCTCTAGTTCTCACGGCTGTGATCATCTGCAACCAACACACCCTTTCTTTATTCCCACAGCCTGGGAACCTTGCAGTGATTGGGACTACATCCTTTGGACCACTCAAAACCAAGGTTGGACTTCTATGGTGGTGGGGGGTTGTGTCGATCTAAAGCCCCTCCTCCACTTTACCAAAGGAACTGCTTTCCCTGATTGCCAATTCCACCAATATGATACTATTCTCATTTCTACTACTACCCCAACCTCCACCGATCCTCGACCTGCCCTCAGTCGCCTCTATGGAATTTGGGCCAATATCAATGGAAAAGATCCTATAGGTATTTTTGAAATATATATTACTTCTCCTTCTCCTTCCCCACTCCTAATAGCTTCAGCTTTAAATCAGACATCTGTTATTACTATACCTAATGATAGGACTAAGGTGTCAGTTCTAAAAGTAAATGACTTGAAACAAACCTTAGCAATTGAGGCAGGATACAAAGATGCAAATGCCTGGCTGGAATGGATTAAATATTTCATCTGCACTTTGAACAAAAGCGACTGTTACGCCTGTGCACACGGTAGGCCAGAGGCCCAGATTGTTCCCTTTCCACTTGGGTGGTCTCTCTGTCGACTGGACATGAATTGTTTGGTGGCTCTTTTCAAAGACCCCACAGCCTGGGATGATAAATCATGCCACACTCTCTCCTTGCTGTTCCAAGAAATTTGATGCCCTGTGGGTCAGCCCCTGAGGGTCATGCAGCCTCTGCCTCTCAATGCCAGGTTTACTTCATGTCTCTCATGACAGGGAAAACTTGACATTTCTCGGAAGCTTAAAGGGATGCAAAGAGCTTAGGCCATTTCAAGAGCTTGCCCATCAGTCTGTCCTTAGCCATCCCCAAGTGGATGTGTGGTGGTATCGTGGTGAACTTTTACTGGACACTCTGCCAAGCAACTGGGGTGGAACTTGTGTTCTAGTTCAACTGGCCATCCATTTCACCCTGGCATTTCATCAACCTGAGAAAGTAGAAGCAAAACGCCATGAATCAAGAGGTTCTGTCTGAGTCCTTTGATCTTCAGGTCTATATAGATGCTATCGGGGTTCCATGAGGAGTGCCCAATGAATTCAAAGCTCAAAACAAATAGCTGCCAGGTTTGAATCTGCATTGTTCTGATGGGTAGCTATCAATAAAAACGTAGATTGGATAGACTACATTTACTGTGATACCCAACCTTGTTTTAACCTGAATTGACTCTCCCTTAGCTGAAAGAGCCAGACAGACTCCATCTTGGCTCCTTCACTTACAGCCCCTTACCCACCCCCTTCCTCAGGAACTTAACTTGTGCAAGCAGACTCCCAGCACATCCAAGGAGGCAATTAAGATACTGTGGCAAGCTATGTCTGCAGTTCCTAGGAATTTGCCTGGTTAATAGCACCCATAGCCCCCAAGTTTGTGTCTGGTTGATAACACCCAAAGCCCCATGTCTATCACCTTGTAATAGATTTAAAACCCCTGTACCTGGAACTTCAGGTCTCACATGCTACATCAATAGAACTGAACCAGGACCTCTCCTGTGTGTGTTGGTTCATGTGCTCCCCCAGGTCTACATGTATAGAGGGCCAGAAGGACAACTTCTCATCGCTCCCCCTGAATTACATTCCAGGTTTTGCCGAGCAGCCCCACTCCTCGTACCCCTTCTGACTGGCCTTAGCATAGCCGGATCAGCAGCCATTGGCTGGCTGCCCTGGTTCAGGGAGAAACTGGGCTAATGTCCCTATCTCAATAAGTAGATGCTAATTTAAGCAATCTCCAGTCAGTCATAAATATACTACATACCCAAGTAGAGTCTCTAGCTGAAGTAGCTCTTCAAAACCGCCGAGGCTTAGATCTGCTATTTCTCTCCCAAGGAGGATTATGTGCTGCTCTGGGACAGAGTTGTTTCTTCTATGCCAATCAGCCTGGAGTCATAAAAGTTACTCTCCAAAAAGTTCGAGAAAACCTAGATAGACACCAGCAAGATCGAGAAAATAACACCCACTGGTACCAAAACATGTTTAACTGGAATCCATGTCTAACTACTCTAATCACTGGGTTAGCTAGATCCCTTCTCCTCCTATTGTTAGGCCTAGTCTTCGGGCCTTGTATATTAAATTGGTTTCTTACCTTCGTAAAGCAATGCATAGCTTCTGTCAAGCTTATGTATCTTAAAATCCAATATAACCCCCTTGTTATAACTGAGGAATCAGCGATTTGATTCCCCAAAAACACAAGTGGGGAATGTGGTAGCCAACCTTGTTTTAACCTGAATTGACTCTCCCTTAGCTGAGAGAGCCAGACAGACTCCATCTTGGCTCCTTCACTTACAGCCCCTTGCCCACCTCCTTCCTGAAGGACTTAACTTGTGCAAGCAGACTGAGAGCACATCCAAGGATGCAATTAACTGATAAGATACTGTGGCAAGCTATATCCACAGTTCCAAGGAATTCATCTGGTTGATAGCACCCAGAGCCCCCGTGTTTGTGTCTGGTTGATAGCACCCAAAGCCCCATGTCTATCACCTTGTAATAGATTTAAAGAGCCTGCACCTGAAACTGTTTGCTTTCCTGTAACCATTTATCCTTTTAACTTTTTGCCTGCTTTACTTCTGTAAGATTATTTTAACTAGACTCCCCCCCACCTTTCTAAACCAAAGTATAAAAGAAAATCTAGCCCCTTCTTTGGGATCAAGAGAATTTTGAGTACTAGCCATCTCTTGGTCACTAGCTAATGAAGGACTCCTGAATTTGTCTACAGCATGTGGCGTTTCTCTGTAACTCACATGGTTACAACATTACTATAACCAACAGCGTTCTGTTAATTGTACTAGAGATGCAATTAGAGGAATAGCTGAACAATTAGAACGCTCCAGTCAAATGGCCTGGGAAAACAGATTAGCATTAGATATGATGCTGACAGAAAAAGATGGAGTTTTTGTCATGATTGGAACCCAGTGTTGTACTTATATTCTTAATAAACACGGCCCCCAATGGGACGATTACAAAAGCTTTACAAGGCCTTGCCTTCCTATCAATTGAGTTAACGAAGAACTCGGGGATAGAAGACTTCTTTACAGGCCTTACAGTTTGGAGGATGGAAAAGATTAATAACCTCAATGCTCACCTCCTTTGTAATTGTCTCAGCTGTACTAATCCTTGTTGGATGATGCCTCATACTCTGTGCTGGAGGAGAAATACAAAAACTTGTTGAAACAACTCTTATCAAAGATTTTTGCAAGCCTCCACCACCCTATTCAGATGGACTTCTTTTTCTAGAAAATCAAGCCAAACAACACAGCCAGAATATGGTAAAAAAGGTTTAAAGAGAAAGAGTTATAAAAAGAAGAGGAAAGTTGTGGGATATGATAAGGTTTCTCTTCCAATAGCCTGATCAATCCTTTATTCTTTAATTCACAATACCACCCCCTTTCCTTTCTTTCTTGTTTCTTTTCTTTCTGCTTTTGCTACATGCCCAGGCATGCCACATTACTAGGAGTTATCAGTACTGACTCACATTCTTTTCCTTATTTGGGAAGAAGACTAACTCTCCAGCTCATTGCAGACACCCCTTCCCCTTCTTCCCTCTCTCCCTTACTTGCCCACCTTATCTCAAGAAAGTTCAAATGTTTAGCCAAACGGGTCTACTTTAGACTGCGTGGCCTGACTCCAGCCAATGGGGAAAGAGCACAGGGGCAGGATTTGTGTCAGGGATAAAAACTTTCACCCTCCTTTGTTCTAGTGTGCTCTCATGGCAACCGGCCAGGGAGAAGCACCCCTCTGTGCAGAAGTAAATTTGCTTTGCTGAGAAACCCTTTGTTTGAGTGCTGGTTTTCCTTAAGACTCAGAACTTTATTCCAACAATTCTCACATTGCTTTCCTTATTTGGGAAGAAGACTAGCTCTCTAGCTCATTACAGACACCCCTTTCTCCTCTCTCCTCTCTCCCTATCTGCCCACCTTATCTAAATAAAGTTCAAATGTTTAGCCAACCGGGTCTAGTTTAGATTGTGCAGCCTGACTCCAGCTAACGGGGAAAGGGCACAGAGGTAGGATTTGCATCAGGGATAAAAACTTTCATCCTCCTCTGTTCTAGTGTGCTCTCATGGCTACTGGCCAAGTAGAAGCGCCCCTCTGCATAGAAGTAAATTTGCTTTGCTGAGAAATCCTTTGAGTGCTTGTTTTCCTTAAGACCCCAAGCTTTATTTCCAACATACTATTTGTTGAGAACTTTTGCATGTATGATCATGAGAGTTCTTTATATTTAGCTTTGTGTTTTTCTAATGTACCCATGTAGCTTTGGCAGTAGGGTGATGTTGACCTCATAGCATAAATGTAGAAAGTGTTTACTCTCCAATTTTCTGAAAGAAATTGTAGAGAATAGGTTCAGATTTTTCCAGCTTTGGCAGAATACTCACATGAAACCACCTGGGCGTGTTGCTTCCTCTTTTCGTGAAACGTTGTTAGTTTATTGGACTTGCGAATTCTTTAAACTTGCATATAGGCCCTTTTCAATATTGTTGTCCTTGTATGAGTTTGGAGGCTGTTTTTTCCCCCCAACATAATTTACGTTCATCTTAATCTAAGTTATCAAATTTGTGATCATGGAATCAAGTTCATAATATTTGCTTTCTTTCTTTCTTTTTTTTTTTTTTTTTGAGACGGAGTCTCGCTCTGATCACCAAGGCTGGCAGCGCACGTGGCTGGGATCTCACTCAGCTCACTGACAGCTCTTCTTCCCGGGTTTATATGCCATTCTCCTGCCTTCAGCTCCCATAGCTGGGAATACAGGACGCCCGCCACCGCTTCGCCTGCGCTACCTTTTTTTTGTAGTTCTTTTTTTTAGTAAGCGCGGGTTTTACCGTGTTAGCCAGGATGGTCTCGATCTCCTGACCTCGTGATCCACCCGTCTCGGCCTCCCAAAGTGCTGGGATTACAGGCTTGAGCCACCACGTCCGGCCCATAATATTTCTTTATGGTCATTTTAATGTTCATAGGATTAGTAGTAATAGGCCCTCTTTCATTTCTGGCACAGTGATTTCTGTGTCTTCTTATTTTTTAGCCTGCCTATAGGTTTACCAATTTTATTGATGTTTATGAA